TTGCTGACCAGTACACTTGACATTTGAACGAGCGTATGTCTTCATACCGCCGTCAAAAGTCTGTCCCTTCTTGACTGTGTAAGGCTCTTTGTAGTAGACTGTACCGTTGCTGGTAGGCCATGACCCAGTCGGCATGACAGCGGCCGCTGAACGCATGGATGTACCAGATGCAAAAGCAGCCACAACTGTGGTCACGATTGTACAGACAGCGATGACGTTAGGCATGTTTGGTGATTTGGTTAGTTGTAGTTATCTTGGTGGAGTGGTTGCTAGTACTTGTGAGGGGTGCAATTAGATAATGAGATTAAAGCACAATACCAACCATTTGAATGACAATGAAGAAAGCTAGTAGATCAAAATCATCATGTAAAGAATGCCTTTCTACAAAGTCTAGTCTAAGATGCCAAGTTTCTTGCTCATATGATCGAAACACATACTGTCGTTGATACTTGCTGTTTTAAATGCCGTCTACTTATTATCATACGATATCGGGCGGGTATTGATCGATTGACTTACAGACTAACCGAAAGCGGATCATAGTTCGTCTGTCATATTGCGTGCTCTGTGTCCAATTGTGCGACCGTCCATACTCGATGGTGTGAGTCACCTTCACTCATCAATCATGGATGTGTCTGTATTCATTCATATGAATCTTCTAGTCACCTAACTGTCGCCTGGATATGAAGTAGTTTTAATACAATCATCTGTTTTGCAAAACATTCATATTTGTAGCTACATCTTTGACAGCTAGCTGGCTGTGATCTTTTACATCAACATGCGTGACGACGGTTTGCCCTTTGTGCTTTGGGATCGAAGAATGATATGAATAATCGGATGTCAACGGCGCAGGTCTCAAAACGGCTAATTTCTCAAATCTGTGTGATAGAATAGCCGATGCCATTGGTATAGCTATCACCGAAGAGTCATCGTTAAGCGTAGAAGTATTTTGAAGAATATGGTGATGACTTTGATGAATGCCGCGGCTGAAAGTCACAATATCAAAGCGCTCTTTGTGACAAAATCCAATCCTTAGTGTACAGAAAGCCGGCGAGACGCTAAGTGCTAACAACACGTATTTATTGATCTATTGAGTACTTTGTTTCTTTTAGGCGAGATAGTTGCTAGTATGTAAAAATGTTAAGCAAGCGTTCGCTTTGCATTCTGAAAGATCTCAGAATTTCGACGCTTCAGCCATGCTGCAAAAGAGAATCTCGTAGTCGGCTCTACCAATTATGCAAGAAATCTGTGGCTGTATTCACGAAATAAATTAGTCTACAAATGTGGATGATGGAATATATGCACTAGCCCAGATCACGAATGCGCACCTCGAAGTGGCATTTCAATTGAGAATGGCGCTGATCACGTGGTAACCTTATTTAAAATTTCGCGGCTTCATCAAAGCTGGTCGGAGTGGTCAGTCAATTGCCGCGGTTAAGCATCTTCGCAGAGAAGGACTGTGGTCCTCGCGGACGACTAAAAGCAGCTTGATTGATGACTGCGAAAAGAGAAAGAAAGGTAAGTTCTACAAGGTCAAAAATAAGGATAGGGACCCAACACAATTTTCTCAATGTATTTTATTTGAATATCTGATCGAATGACATACTATGAATATAATAGTGGAAGTCGCATGTTGAAGAGAGATTTCTGTGAAGAAGCCGCGCGCCGGCACAAAAGACAGTCAGCTTTTAAGAGGCACAATCAATTAGCAGACACCACAACGTGCAGTCGCATATAAAGTCTCCATTCATATGAAAAAATGCTTTACTCAGAGTATGAAGCGCATAGAGCGAAGATACAAAAGGACGAGAGCAATTACGGACGTACCTTTTCACGCTTCTCTCTTGCAAATGAGTCTGATAGCCGCGGTAGTGGCATACAAACATACTATGTGTACCTTTAAGGTGTTTCACGCATGTATTATGAGAACGATGGACGAGTCTAGTTGTGCCCATTACTCAATTCTAGTGATGTTTTCTTGAACTCACAAGAGAAGTATCGCGACTATCGAAATTACTCACAATGACGACAACATCATATGATTTGAAAGAAGGATATTCTCATAATAAGCCACAAGACGAATTGAGAATCTAAATGCTTAGAATACAGTGGTGCGGAGATAATATGAGGTGTGGATAGAAGCCAATACGGCGTTTTGATAATATATTGCAAGTGCTTTGTATCAATGTCAAACAAGAATTGCGCGTCTCTTTCTGTACATTTTTAGGCTCTTGTCGCACTTGTCATGATTGCAACAAGTCGAATGATAAAACATCGAGGTGATGACAGCATGGGTGCCCGATTGCTAAAAAGAAAGATCATTCAACTTTGCCTGTAGTTTTGTCGCGGTTTCCGGCATCATTTTATCTACCCGATTATCTCCACCGTCAAAAACTGAATCGTTCTATCGTAATATCGCCATCGTATCTTAATCTATGTCAACTTTTTTGAATTCAGCGACCGATGATCGGTCGGAACTATCGATGGAAGCAACTTCTTTACCTAGGAATAGGTACAACAGAAAACAAAATGAAGCAAAAGCAGACACATTCAACATTCATTATTCACTTGACACCACATCAAGGCTTCGCATACAAGGACTTGCTTAGTTAGCTTACTTTTGGTCATTTCGAAGCTCGCACTTACAGGTTGCAAGTTCATTTACACGTACGATACGGTACTAGGGGAATACTGACAAAGCGTGCCCGACGGACCAGCGCCTAATATTTTCGGCTCCCCTGATGTCGTGCCTTGTGACCACTGGCACACGTCGACCTTCTTACCCTTAATTTTGATGTTTTGTAGCGTCGCCTTGTCGCCATAATTCTTATTGACTGTCGCGACGCTCACTTTGCCATCTACGGCCAGAATATTCGTGAGGCTCACCGTGCGAGATTTATCGCCACACGTACCACACGAGCGGTAGAGTTTGCCGAAATTTTGAGCATAGAATCCTTCAATTATGACCGTTCCCAAACCGTTGTGTTGAATGACCTTGTCATCAGCCGAACGTGCGCCACCGCCAATCACTTTGGTCACGCTACTAGTTGTACCGCCCTTGATACTCAGCGCATCCTCACATACATCATTCCACCAAACATTCTGGATCGTACAATCGCTCTGATCACAATGTACACCTTCCATTTGATCTTTGCCGATGATCACATTTTTGAGCGTAGCACCAGGCTCGACCATGAAGACAGCTGTCTCCCACCCGCTCTCCTGCTGACCAGCACATTTGATATCCGTTCGCGCGTACGTCTTCATACCACCGTCGAACGTTTGACCCTTTTTCACCCTGTACGGCTCCTTGAAGTATACCGTGCCTTTGCTCGCGGGCCAAGATCCATCCGGCATTGCGACGGCCTCTGAACGCATGGAGGCACCCGATGTGAAAGTTGTCACGGAGGCAAGAGCGATAGTGAAGGTAGCAATGACATGCACCATAATTGGATGAAGTAGTTTATTCCGCGGTATGACTTGATTGGAATGGAGAGCTCGAATTGAGTAATGAGTTGGTCGAAATACTCATGCGGTTTAAGACGAGCACTGATATCAAAATCCTTATAGGGTGTCGTTGAAAAATGTGAGGTTGTCGATCACTTCAAGCGATAAAATTGAAGCAGTCAAGATGCATTTTGCTCTCTTAGCTCGTAAGCGGCGAGTCCACGATGTCATATGATGTAGCAGCAACAGCACTGAGGACGTTCATTGTGTTTGCTTATTTTCAGCTGTCGTAACTTTTTTCTGAGGAATTTGAAATATAGCACGCTAGGTTGATAGTTTGCTCTGTGCATTCCAGCTCTCTTTTACAAGTGGACATCAAAGTCAACATAACTCACCGATATTTCATCAGTCGCCAATTAAAGTTGGTCACTCTGACTGTGACGCATGATTGACATATGGTGAACATAGGGACGAAGCGTTGGATTTCAGAGTATGCAAACTCGACGAAGCTTGAGAGTAATGATGAAATCCGAGAGTGACGAAAGCTTTGAGACAATATATCAACAGATAGAATCTTAATCAAGGCAAGCAGTCAGGCATAAGCTAGTGACTTCGATAGTCTACCACCACTCGAGATTATAGAAACACCCTTATATGTAAACGAGGATTCATATTGTTTTCGATGACTGTCTCACAAACTGCTCCTTGAGTGTAATTGTTAGCAGATGGACCCGAGCGTATGACCGACTATCAATGGTTCATTTTCATGTAGCAGCTCAGCCCTCGGATATTCACTTAAAATTTCCTGTCACACCTAATGTCTTGTTATATCACACTTATTAGTTAACCAACTTGATTTCTTAGAAACGTAAAACTTGGATTGCAGAAGTTCATAAATCTTCTGCGATCCAAGTTCTGTACGCAATTTGTGCATACAGTAGCAGCAAATTAAGCGAGATCGATGTCGAAGTCGGTTCCCCAGATTCTCAAAAATGTTGCTCCTATGCACGCAATCGATGCTTCCTTCTACTTATATATCTTGATGATCCGTGAACTAGCTTATATTCGGAGCTGATATATACTAGCTGATTGGACAGTGAGACGTACATATCTTGTGTTAGTTTAAACTAGATATTTCATCAGAACATATGATAATACTAAACGTGTCGCGCCATAACTCTAATATCGTACCTCACGATTGTATTCGATGCGATCAACACTTGACTAAAATACTAGCTAGTTTCAGTTCTTTGAGCTTCCGAGGAAAGTATGTGTAACATAAAAGTACGCGGTGATCGAGTCCATGCTCCATCACACCCCAAATTCTCATGAAGTGAATCCTTTTGGTGTCAGTAAAAGCTTAAAGCCAACGGGCAAAAAGTTTCAGGGTGTCTTTCAAGAGCATCAATCACGAAGAGTATCCCTCTTGAACTTCTTACTCAAACGTCTGGCCTAAGAAGCCGCCTGGAAGGACGAGGTCCATCACAGACATATAATTCTAAGACGAGAGTAGTCAAAATGACTTTTCGGTAAACGACTCACATCTTAAGGCGACATAGTCTTGCCGTTTATCGCTGAGTTCCTCCATGGCCTTAACTCCCCAAATGGTCACGCTCATCTTCGCGTGCACTGTGCTCTCAGTGTCTGCTCCTCGAATCGAAGAGCAGAAAGATTTCCTACCAAGGTTGGTACTTACAAGCAAGTTATCCCTTAACCAAAGAAACCACTTCCTTGTTGACAAGCACATAAGCAAACCGCACCCTGAAAACGGAAACTTACGACTATATCATGACGTATTGGCTTTGATCGACCCGATTCGATAAAAGTTACTCGACGCCCCGATGTGAGAGCCTGTAGATCATTTTAAAAGCAAATGCATATCTCTTCGTGGGGACTTAATGACATCATAGATTAAATTAACAGGAGTACCGCTTCCAGCAGAATAAGTAGCAGCTCCGTCAGCCGGTGTCTGCTCCAAAAACTATACTACAAAAATGCGGCGTGATAACAGGGTCGATACGTATATGACTCAATTTCTCAAGGATAACCAACGATTCAATTCAGTATTTGTTCATAATTACAGCGGGGCTGCCGTAGCTTAGCGCTTGAGGAAGCGTAATTTGGGTCACCGACCTTTCGTTCTATACTTACAACACGTACGAGTTAGCGGATCACAATCCGCTAACTCCAAGAGTAATTATTGCCTTCCCAAGGCTAATTGACTCTTCGGTTTATAATTCAAACTGGTTTTTGTTATTTTTTATCTTAATTTTAAAATTTAAGATTTTCCCAAATATACTAAATATATAAATTAAAATCTAAATACATGCATAAC